TGAATTGATGCAGATGAAGCTGACCGGCAGCAGTGCACGGCGTTCTCCTCCTCTCTGCAACGCTGCGAGGCAAAACAACAGGTACACAGGACAACTTTCCGCACTGCATCTACATCAAAGACCGGAAAGCGATGTATGTAGATGTTTTGTATTTATTATTTCTCAGACAGTGCTCAGCACCCCGTATCCGTGCACTGACAGACTTATTCTCTATGGCTTGAACTATCATACCCCATTGTCCTCTATCCTGGAGTGGAGCCAGTAGGTATTGTCCCTCGCTCATGTAACCTATATGACGTCAATAATTAGTTCTTACGAGTTACGACGGTAACTCCTCACTGTAGATATGTTACTTTTTAATTAAATCCGCTTTTTAATGCATCACGAATCAAATTACCGATTGAACAGATCGAACAAGATGTTATCGGGACTGATACTCTTTGCGACTGTCTCATCTCCATTTTTTATGCTATCCGCACTGGTAGGTACCCCTAGACCCCCTTACTTTATGCATTATGCATAATAAAATTCGAGCATGCCAAAAACTGTGTGACATACAGTTGCAGAGAACTTCAACAAGGGGCAGAGGCATCGAAAAAGTTATGCAGTCATGACATCTATTACGCGTGCCTTATTTTTGCAACCGTGTAGCCCGACATGAAGACTACGTGAAAACATGACAATGTCCGACGTCGCAGACGCAGTATCCTGCGCAGTTATACAATACACAGTATCCATTAGCACGTGCCCGGCGATCAGCGGTAACAGAGCTTGGCTGGTAGCTGAGGTTCTTCGGAAACTGAGTGCTGGCTCAGCTCAGTCTCGATACCTTTCGTGCCCTCTGTCGATCGGTGTCCCGTAAGGTCAGAGCAATGATCTCATACTGAAAGACGCGGAAGAAAATGCCAAATGTATTTCTGTGCGATGAGGCATTATGCATAGTATCGTAAAAAATTGCCTTTCAACCGCATGCTTTATTGAGTATGGAGTCGTTCAATTAAATCCACGGATCCTCAGGAGTGCGCGCTTACTTTGCTTGATCGTACATGAAGTAAAGGAATATGGTCCCAACATTCACACTCTACTGATAATCTGTAGTGATCGAAAAAAATACTACCTACCCTTAAATATGGGTGATCAACTATGTCATCAAAAACACTGAAATCTAGTACTAAAAGTACGATAAGTTTGACATTAGCATAGCCGTCGAGCTACGCTTAGCTTAGCGAGGATGGCTCAACAGCGATCACCCGTGTCAACTAACACACGTACTGCATACGTAATGTTTGAAACAGAACAACGTTCTATTACTATGTTATTGGTTCTTCTGTTCAAGCGTACTATTAGGTATAATAAGGCTTCTAAATGTAAATATGTAAAATTTCTATGCCGTAGGTTGTCTATGGTACCACTCCATAAACCGCATACATACATATACGTAATGATCAATGTAGGATCAAATGACAGTGGGGATTTGGTTATTGACCGTTCATTAATTAACGATGAGAAGATCTAATTCACTAGTACTTTTAGACAGCAGCCTAGAGAAGAAAGAGGATGCGAAAAGATACAGGTTGCATTCCCACTAAACTTTTTTATCAATGATGAGACTGAATCTTTCAGTAACAATAATAAATTACAAATATCACGATTTACTTTTTTATCTACCAACTGATCCGACTGTTCCCTATGTCTATAAATAGATTCTAAAGAAGGAAGGGGATGATATGTGTCAATCAACCAGCGCCTACGGTTGGCAGTTGTCCACTGCATAGTGCACAGCTATAAATGCTCCGCCGCAGCCTCCTGCGGCTTCCAGCGTACATGCGCGTTAACTGCTCTTCGACTTTCAAGTCGAACGTTAACTTCCCTTCAAGTCGAGTCCCGCGTGTGCTCAGTCCGCGGGCAGTGCAACTCAGTCTCGCTGGCAGTCCACATGGCTTGCTGACGTCACTGGAGGCTGCTCACTGCTCAGTCTGTCAGCGAATTAGCGAGAACGGATTACTGAACCGGAGCCAACAGACGCAGATAAATTAATCGTTCTCTAAATGTGATAAGACGTTTTGTTGATTTACGCTGAATGCAGCATATACCCTGTCAAAGGAAGGGATTTGAAGATAATAGCAAAGGTGCTGATAAAGGTACTAAGAACATATAAAATAACATGCCAATTGGATCTTAATGTTCATGTTTTCCCTGGCGTCAGCCTTTTAACTTTAAATGCGATTTTTTACATAATTATTACCTACTCCTCACATCCATCGGCGCTCAGTTCATCCATTAGCCAGACTTAACCCGCGGCTACCGGTGGACCCTACCACCTGTAGGGGGGGGGGGGGCGTTTCGGCCCCCCTAAGATCTCGGAAAGTTACCGGCCGATTTTCAAAATTCAAACGGCGTTCGATAGCCCCGCCCCGGAACTACCTTGTGACCAAATTTCATTGACCTAGGTCAAACCGATGACGTCACAGGTCAGGTCAAAGGTCAGATTCACCGTTTCACCGTTCACAGGCATTTCAAGAAATGTGTTGTGAAATCGAGTAAATTGGTAATTGATTGAAAACCGTCGATGGTATATTGTTCGCCAAACACATCCTTTGCTATCTGAGGTCACTGATACCAGGTCAGGTCACAGCGAGGTCAGGTCACCGGGGGTCACATTATGAAAGTGTCGTGTGATACATGTTTTATGGTCCATTTTACATGACAAATGCGATTATGTGGGTTAGGCAGCCTTTGGGGCCAGCCTAGGTCACGTTTTGGTGAAGGTCAGGTCAAGGTCAGGTCGAATTAGGTCAAATTTCAAAGTTGATATTTTGCATAAAATGGGTATTGATTCGATGCAGCTCGTCACGGGGAGTCTAATGGTGGTCTTCGTTTTGCTCTACGAGGTCTAGAATTGCCAAAAATTGAGTTTGAAAATTTGACGTCATCATTTTTGAACAGTTTTTTCGCTATAACTTGGCCAAAAAACAAGGTATCGATCTGAAATTTGGTATGTAGATAGAAGACGGTAGGTACTATCACATATATTCCGTTTTTGTGAAACTCAAAAAACTTTTTGGTTTTTTTTGGCTAATATATTCAAAACATTGCTTTTTAATTTTTGGGGGTCAAAACTCAAAAAATTTCAAAAATCCGAGATAACAGTTTTGTAGCCCTGTAAATTCTACACCTTTTATGTCTCGATCATTTTTCTGTATCTTTAAAGCTGTAGGCCTGACAGGTCTTCTCGCGAAGGTCTTTTTTCGGTCGAAAATGACAGAACATGACGTCATTCTGACGTCATTTGTGGCCAACCTATCATAGCCTCTGAAAAAAGTTTGATCACAATGTGTAAAATTGATGCCCGGAGGGGTCCTAAAGGTTTGGTGGCGATATATCCAGCCGTTTAGGAGATATCGACCGAAAAGGACAGGGGGCCGTTTCGCGGCCCCACCCCCTGGATGTTTTGCTACTTGGGCATGGCTCGGGATATGCTTGGGCAAAACCAACTTGGGCTGGCCCTAGATAAGCCCAAGCAATGACTTTCCATGATTTTTGGGCTGACATTGGACATGCCCTACTTAAGTTCACCACTAGGGCACAGCTTGGGCTTGGCCCAAGCTTGGCCCGCGCTATCGGCATGGAATAATTCGGGCAATGCCCATGCCCAAGTTATCCCGGGCAGGTCGTTTGAGCTTGGGTTCCGCACGGGCTTGCCCAGTTGGGGCCCTATCCATTCCACTTTCGTTTATGGTCGGCGTACCGCGTAAGTGTGTCATACGCCGGGCAGAACCCGGGTTGGAGCTTGGGCGAGCCCAACCAAATACCGCAGGCATGCCCAAGGTTTGCCCAGTCGGGCCCCACTCAGAATTATTGGCTGGGAAGGAATAAACGATCAACAAAATAGATAAAATTTCATCATCAATGTCGTGAACATGTCATCGGTGCACAAAGATCTTCAGTTACTCGATGGGTATATCTTTCGTATCGCTGATTCTGGGAGCGACATGCTTTTGGCTTCGGGTATTCGACGGACGGCTCATTGTGACCTATACCGTGATTTGCTCCTCCTATCGATAATATGTGTCATGTGTTGAATGGCACTCCAAAATTAATTGCCGCACAATGCTTATTGCCAACCACTGCTCAAGAAAAACGTTAGTTGTTACGGCTAGCTGATGCTTACTAATACCTATTTCAAACTACATAAAACATCTTCGTGCAATTGTGGGTAAAAATATAATACTTGTTTGCTTTGCTATCGTTTACTTCTCTACTTCGAAACAGTACACAGTACATAGTATCTAGCTAGATAGTACACATCTATTTTCAAAACACTTGCTGTCTTAGCCTAAATTTTATAAGCGAAATAATTTCTGCGAGCGACGCTAGTTCGTTATGCTAATATACAGATGCACCATAAACGCACTGCTGCTGAATTAATCTGCAAAAGTTCTATTGAAATGTGGCTCCAGAGACTTTGTCATGCGTTCTGATTGACAGGTTGGTACTACCTCTTCTTTACCACCTCCCTAAGACAGTACCGCATTCGTAGATAACTACATAGAGGTACCCAAGTGACATTTGTCACTAGTAACAAATTTCAAGGCACTGCATGTTTACAAGACACTGCGGAAAAAGCACGCCTTGTTACTCCGATATTCTACATCACGTGGAGATCGTTCCCGGGACGGCCCTGCGGCCTGGGAAAGGAGACGAAGGCTCTACTGCGTGGCCCGTCTATATTCCATGCGGACAGCAGCGCCATCCACCACTCCTCGGAGAGGTGGAGGTACGGCCGCTCGCAGCGCCGCCTGTCCTACACCGTCTTCGCCAGAACAGGCGCTACGATCGCCCTCTGTCCAGGTCAGACGACTATGTGACTAATATGTATGTCGCATACTGCGACTCGATTGTCTAGGACAAGGCGCCGGACACAACCATCTCAATGTACCACTACGCCGCCTTCGGCGCTTCACTACAGTGGACCCCAGTTGCCATGGAAACGAGCTGGCGGCAGAAAAACTGTTTATTGCTGAACTACACTGCAGGTTTCACGCACTGAGATAATTACCGCTGTGCGCGGCACACGCGCTCGACCGAATACTGCAAGGGTGCGACCTAAGGCTCTTCCTGCACTAGATATTTACAATACAAAAGGGTCGCTCTGCACTGGTGGTCTGGTGGTCAGACCAAATTCTACGCTACCTACTCGTGAACACAGTCTCGACGGAAGATAGACACAGAGTCACGAGTACTGGGAGAGGTCAGGACTCCAGGAGAATTGCCCACAGGCTACAGTCGAGATACAGACACCACGTGATGACCAGGAGGTCAGGTCACAGTGTCAAGGTCAAGGTCAGGAACATTTTCTAGAGAGGCACTGCTACCAGCCTGATTTCACGCATACCTACTGCGAGCCTTTGGTACACGACACGAATCTGGTATAACACCAAATAAGTCGCATGGCCACGGTATACGCTAAAATACAACACTAGAACATACCTGCTGAGGAGAAACGAAATAAGAGACGGTGAGGGGAAATCGCAGGATGTAAGGAGTAAAGTGACTGTGAAAACGCTACGTGACGATACACGAATCACTTTCGTCGAAAAATGCTAGAGGATGCTTCATGTGACTATTCGCGAATGGGATATACAAATGCAGCTGCCTGCAAGGAACTGCAATCTACGAGGACTGAGGTCACATTTGGCACAGAGGGAGCTCTCCATATCCCCAGGTGCCTGAGGTTGTTTTTCACTCCTCAATCTCTTTTCAAACAAACCACCCCTTGCTTGGCACATTCCGATAGCTCAGCTAAGCCTCCCGAGCTCACGAGTGGAGGGCGCACCACCCACAGTGCTCAGGCGCCGCCAGGGGTCAATGGGGACATTATTGCCATCAAGAATCAGCACTTCAGCAACAAAGCTCGTCTTACCTGATATGCCGAGCATATCTACCCTGTAGGTGGAGCCGCCGACCGGTCCGCTGTCTCACCGGGACGATTCCTGACCCGGCAGCGGGCGGGCGCCGTGAGACAGGGCGCCAGGTCGGCGCCCTGGACTCTTGGAAGACCTGGTTGGGCACGGAACGCCGAGACATGAGCTCGGCTCACTACCTTTTGAGTGGCACGCTACCTTTTTGACATCGCGTTCTTGCAGTATTGAACGCGAATGATATCAAATAAATAACAATAAATAATCCAAAGAACCTTAAACTAAACTTTTGATTGCACAAGCTCCCTTGCAAGTGATTCCCACGTTTCAAAGTGAGATGGGTTACGGTTTTGGTTTTCGCCATCTGGCGCCGTTATTTCGCCAGCGCTAGGGACCAGGTAGGCTGGACAAGGCGCGGTGGGGGCGATGTGTTGTACTACGGGTCGGCTGCTACTGAGATCTCCCCGGACACCTGTGGTGGGCGCGGCTGGTAGTCCGGCGCTCCGAGAGCCACGCGCAACAAATAACTTAGAGCCCTGAGGAGCGCCGGCGGCTGCGGAGGTGGCGCCGGCCCGGCCGGCGGAGGTGATGATGAGCAATGGTTCCGCCTCCCGCCGCCAGGAGCGCTGCCGTCGCCGCCTGCAGGGCGGCCAGCGGCGGCGGCGGCGGCGGGGGAGCCATCTCCTAGCCGGTGTACATGCCGTACAGAGGCGCGGCGGCGCTCCAGTCCAGGCCCTGCAGGCTGGACACGTCGATGTTGGTAAATTGGTAGGGCGTGCTGACGGACGGCTGGAGCGTCGGCAGGTTCTGCAGCGTCGGCAGCGCCCCCTGGCTCTGAAACGCCGCCGAGCTGACCGGCGTCATCGGCGCGGGCATCGCGGTCAGCACCTGTCCCTGCTGCTGGCTGATCAGCTGGCCGGGCTGCTGACTGATCAGCTGACCGGGCTGCTGCTGGTTGATCAGCTGCCCCTGCTGACCGAGCTGCTGCTGCGCTGCCACGGGGACCGAGTAAGGCGAGTAGCGGAAACTGGAGAGGGTGGAGAAGGCCGGTCCGCCGGTGGCCGACATCACCCGGCCGTAGTGCTGCTGCAGCGGCGCCAGCGGGCCGCCGCCGCCGGCCGCCGCCGCTGCCGCCGCCGACTGCATCACAGAGATCAGCTGCGCCCGCTTGGCTCGCTCCGTCGCCTGGATCGTCTCCTTCGGCTGCGCGTACTTGCACTCCACCGTCTTACTCTTCACCACGTGATGATGTTTCTTGACGACCCTCGCGCTGTGTTCCTCGTTCTCATAAGTGACAAACGCGAAGCCGCGGTGTCGTTTGGTGTTGTTGTCCATCTGTAGCGAGCACTCCAGCACCTTTCCGAACTGGGAGAAGTACTCCAGCAGCTCCTGTGAGGTGGTCTCCTGGCTGACTCCGCCGACAAACACCTTTCGCGGGATGAGCAGGTCACCGGACGACTTCTGGCCCTTGGGCGTGGCCAACTTGGGGTCGATCTTCTTGCCATCCAGCATGTGTTCCTCCTGGCTGAGCACCTTGTTCACAGACTCCATGTCGGCGAACGTGACGAAGCCAAAGCCGCGGTTTCGCTGAAACGGGGCGCGCACTGGTGAGTTGGAGCAATACGAGAAAAGTTTCCAATGGCAAAGGCGGGTCTGACGACTAGCCGACAAAAATGGCACGGAGAGTCCAGCAAGATATGGCTCACGACTACCTACTTACTATATTCCTTCTGCTTTGCTATTTTAAACACTAGACCTATAAAATAGTCACCTGGGAATAGCTATGATACTTTTAATGAAAAGAGGTGCGCCAAAGCTGTTATCCCACAGAGAAACTCTTCTACGCTACTATGTAGAAAACACTTTCAAAACAGGAAATATCACCCCGGTCGGACAGGATGATACATGGTACATAACGGTACTAAATGAATATTGCCCTGGAATTCTGCAACATCGCAATACAGCCTGTACTAAGCTAACGGGCGATTATTTCACATAGATTTATATTAAACGAAAGCGAAATGCTAAAATACTAACGAAAAAAAAATGAACTAGATCAGTAACATACATTATCCGCTGTACTTAACAGATGCATATTAAAAATCTCATAGCATTTCCAAATGAATTTCATGAACAGTAAGCACAACTGCCTATTGCACCACTCACGTTAGTCGCCTGGTCTTTGAGCACCATGACATCCAGTATGGTACCGTACGGCGCGAAGTAGGCGCGCAGTTTCTCCGGCGTCGTCTGGAAGCTGATGCCTCCCACGAAGATCTTGTTGGGCGAGTGGTCCTCTCCGCTGCCGGGACTGGAGCGTGACTCCGACTCGGTGCTGTCCCGCCGTTTGCGCGACTCCATCCGACTCGCGGCGGAGGTCACGTGAGAGGGAATGGCCGCCCCGGACGGCGGAGAGACGCCCACCAGGCCGCCTGTGACCACCATGGACATACCGTCTGCCGGCGGAGAGAATCGGTCAGAGACGACACGTGACTCGGGTCATTGTGGGGAGGGGTGGTGCAGGAGGAAAAAGACGGTGACTAAAGACGGTTGACAGCTGTATGACGAAGGATGATAAATTAGTTTGTTGAATTCAAGTTGATGGGTAAGCGAATTAGCCTGGCTGTTTGTGGTGATTCAGCAAACACAACGGTGTTTCGAACGTAAAATAAGCCCTCGGTAAGTGTAATGGCATTCAATTGTACCTACGCAATACGCATGCAGGTTAAATCAACATTTGAAACAAGTGATGAAGAGAAACGCAACCTCCCAAGTCCCATGCATGCATTATCCACAGACGAACTCCCACGCACAAAGCAGCGGTACGATTCGGAAGTTATGCGGCACAGCATCATTCAGGCGCTCACTAGTGCTGCCATCTAGGAGCAGCATCAGTTTCCCTGTCCTGCGGCACAGCATATCTACAGGCGCTCACTGCTGCCGAATGCCCGGGTAAACGCAAAGGCCGCGCCGAAAGGCATCTAAGCAAAGGCGAGTGCCACTAGTTATGCATCGCAATTTAGCGTTTGTACTAACGCTGTCGCGGTTTGCGTATAATTTTGAGTTTTTTATTCGACGTTGCATATCATCCAAGCATAATCTGATACAATCTGCTCTAAAACTAGCTGCAATGGTCAGGTGATCCCTTTTCGATGACCAGACGCCAGCATGTCCGGTTTTAAGTGCCCATGCAATATGGAGGAGTCTTGATATTGTATCGGCTCAGCACGGGACTGATGACAAAGCCTCACATCCGTGTATAATCAAAATCAGCTATTCATCCCTTATGAATCAGCCCCAGGCCTACTTTCGCGGCTCGATATGCCGCCCGCCACCTCACCGATGGCTTCTGGGGCACACTCGAGGTTCGATCAAGTGGTCGGTGGGGTCTGACGGGGAAATCCTATCGGCATTATGCCGCTATCACTGCCGATACGGCCGGTTGAGTAGCAATCGAGGCCGGCAGCCACCGCACAGTTGAAGCCTGCACTGACAGCCCGGTGGACGGTCGGCTCTCCCAGTTAATTGGGCCGTCACACTTTGCAGTCGTTGACACCTGCTGCAGGTATGTGGTGTGATTCATTTGTCTGACTTTTTTGCATTTTGCCATGTCTATTGTTGATCGTGCGCATTATGCTCTCACATGAAACTTTCGCAGGCAAGCAGATAGCTTTTACATTGAAAAGTAAGGCATTGTAATGAATAAACTTACTTATACCTACCAGTATAGCGCCTTTTGGGGCGACTAACGGAGCGAGCGAGGGGGTGAGTCTTGCACGTGCGAAATTTCGAGGGGGTACCTCCAACTGACTTGTGCACGGCACCCTACTGACCGGTTTCTAGCGATGTGCCAAATTTGAGCACAATCGGCCCAGCCGTTCTCGAGATCTGGGAGCGGCACCCTGCACGTGCGCACGTGCAAAATGGGTCCCAACTGACTTGTACACGGCACCCTACTAACTGGTCCCTAACTGTGTACCAAATTTGAGCGCCATCGGTCCAGCCGTTCTCGAGATCTGGAAACGACCCCTGCACGTGCGCACGTGCAGCAGCACCCCAACTCTGGCACATGGATATGCAGTGCCTAGTGGGTGCCTACCTACATACCAACTTTCAGCGCAATCGGCCAAGTAGTTACCGAGATATTGCAACAATTACAAAACTGACACCTCTTCGTTTTGCACGTGGCACGTGCATAAGGGGTCACCCACATGCATCGGGAATAGTCCAATACTTGGTAGAAGGAATGAAGCTACCCTACAAAAATTACCGCATGTAAATCGGTCAAGTGGTTCCTGAGATATAAGCCTCGCAAAAGCGTCCGCACGGCCGGCCGGCCGGCCGGCCGCTCATACTCAGAAATTTCCGTTATTCTACGTAAGACTCCGCTCGCTTCGCTCGCTCCGTAATTAAACAAAAGAGAAAATAATTAACTGAGGTGATGTTAACAATTATTTTCGCTAATCAAAAGGATACTTGGATGTTCATCGGTTCCTATTTGTACGAATAAGTGTCTAGCATGAATGAAACGAGTTCTTTAAGCAAAACGTTGCAACAAAGAAACATACATTCATTTCGTTTCTACTTGTGTTTCGGTCACTTCCGGTCGAGAGTCACAATGCGAAGTAATTCTCCTGAGACAGTTCTTTGATAGATCCAAAGACAAATTAACCATAAAACGTCTTTGCGTGCGTCCTAGTACAAGTTTCGATTCATATAACAAAGAATAATTCCTCCTAAACTCCAAGAGCGATGCCACCACCTCTGTACCAGTTTCCTTTGCTGCTGTTTTCCGTCATCGAGTTGACCTGGCGGCCAAATTAGGCACCACATTGGCCAGTGTGTCTGATCGCTGGGGCCCCATTGGTCCCCACCGGATTCCATTGGGTCCCACAGGGTCCTCCAGGGACCGGCCTTTACCAGCCGGCGGAGAGGCCATCCACTGATGAGAGTGGGTCGTGGAATGGCATCAGCTGGGGAGGGCGGCGGTCACTGGCGCCCTTTGAGCCGCAGAGAGGATAGCGGGGCTGATCTACCGCACCCACAGAGGGTAAACAGGCACCGTTGTCTGAGCCTCAGCCGCAGCAGAGTGGCTAAACAAAAAAGGAACCACCAGCGTTCTTTGAACGTACGAAACAATTGTTTAGTCGTGATCCCAAACTTATCATAAGTCACTTCAAACAGAACAGCGTAGCAAGGGAATAAAACGTAACCAGTCATATATTTTTTAATTAGATTGGTACTGCTGTATTTGCTGACACACTCGAGCATAGCATTCGGTAAGCCGTCAACAACTGCATCGTCTATCTGACACGCCGACGATAAACTATCACGTCGCCGTTTCGGTAACGCACTATAGCGAGGGTGGTGATGGGCTGTCAAACTGTTGGCGTATCAGTGCATGTAAGACTGTCAGACTGCCCACCTGTCAAAAGAGGCACCGTCAGGACGTTTTCTGACGTTGCACAGGAAAAGAGGAAAACAGCCTACACAGAAACTGATAAAATAGTAGTTTGGAAACTATTCTAAGCAATAACTACAAGAGCGTTGTAGTATATGGGTAATTATCTACTGTCTATGAAATAAAATAACAAATTTGGCTCAAAGTAAAACTACACCAACTGGCTTATTACGAGCGAGCGAGCGCAGCGAGCGAAGTGAGTCTTTTCAATATAACGGAAAAATCTCAGTATGAGCGGCCCGGCCCGGCCCGGCCCGGCCCGGCCTGTAACGCTTTTGAGAGGCTTATATCTCAGCAACCGCTGGACCGATTGGCCTGCGGTCTTTTTTGTTGGGTAGCCCCATCCCTTCTACCCCGTAATTGACTACTTTTGATACATCTCAGTGACCGTCGTGGCACGTGCCACGTGAAAAGTCAAGGGTGTTCAAGCTGTTTTGCAAAAGTAGTGATTTTGAGAGGCTGATATCTAAGCAGCCGCTTGGGCGATTGACTTGCGGTAATTTTTGTAGGGTAGCAGCATCCCTTCTACCCAAAATAGGATACTCTCGATGTATGTGGGTCACCCCCAGTGCACGTGCAAAATGCAACAATAAGAGGTGCCAAATTTGTTCCCATTTCAGTAACTCCGTAATTACTGGGGCGATTTTGCTGAAACTTGGCATACAGGTAGGCACCCACCAGGCAATGCATTCCCATGTGTTGCGGTTAGGGTGCTACTGCACGTGCGCACGTGCAGGGGGCGTTTCCAGATCTCGAGAACGGCTGGGCCGATTGCGCTCAAATTTGGTACACGGTTGGGGACCGGTTAGTAGGGTGCCGTGCAAAAGTCATTTTGGACCCCGTTTGCACGCGCGCACGTGCAGAATGCCGCTTCCAGAGCTCAGGAACGGCTGGGCCGATTGCGTTCAAATTTGGTACACCGCTAGCGACCGGTTAGAAGGGTGCTTTGCACAAGCCCGTTGGAAGTACCCTCTCGCCCTTCTGCACGTGCAGGGCTCACTCTCTCGCTCGCTCGTCCTTCGCCCAAAAGGCGTTTTACTGGTTGTAATATGAAGCTATGGAGCTGGTAACTTATAACGAGTTTTTTGGCACAAGCCGTTGCTGAAAGTTTTGAAGCGACCAACCTCAAGACCACTGCCGCAAATATGTCAAGCCATTGGCACCGGTTTGCCTTTGTCCCGCCGGTCACCCGAGTTCCGGTCGACCTCTCGACTCGGTGGTGACAAGGACACCTCGCTGGCACCCTCACCACCTCTCCGTCACCAACACGCAGCGTCCCCGCCAGCGGGCCATCGATAGGCGCCGCCATCAGTCAGGGCCAAAAACCCGCCCCCACCAGTCAGTTATGTCAACCGCAGCCCGCGGGCCTGGCGCGGCGGCGGACCGGGGGTGGTGGGGACGGGGCAGGGCAGAGGGGAGGGTGGCGAGTGACGAGACCGAGTGCGGTCCTCCCTCTCGCCGGCTTATCGTAAGTGGCGAGACACGACTTCACTCAGAGTTGTCCGTCTCGGACGACGTAAAAGATGGCGTACTCCAGTGTCGGCGTTAAGATTGGAAAAGTGAGCTTACGAGGAGTGAATGAAAAAAGCCCTTCGATAGTTGCTTTTGGTAGATAATAAAATTGCAGACTAAAATCAACAGTGACTGATTCATCTCCCACAACAGTGTTACAATAACATAACAAACTTATACTATCGCTATGATTCTGAACTCTTTTCTACCTCTCCTCTTCCTTGCTTGAAAAAGAGGCGATCAGTTTCCCTCCTAGGAACACCAGTTCAGCGAGCAAATCGATATTCTACCCCGGAGAGCTCACGGGCCACCCCATCACCATCAGTAGAGCTATTCTGAGTGAAACTGCCGAGCGCAGGTTCCAGAATTGATACCAGTCCAATGAGCAGTCCGAGCGGTTATGAAAACCTCTGACTCTCCATTTCTTTGCATTCGCAGGGGAGAGCATTGGACCGGCATGCGTTGCATTGATGATGCATGCGT